GTGGGTGATCAAGGGCCTACCCTCCTGGTCCTTGTACAAGGTACAAGGTTTTCTGGTCCCCTGCTATTCTTCTCCCCCTTCTTTCTGCTGCTTTTACACATATATTATGTGTAGGCTGCCCAGCACACAGAATGGCTGTGTGAGAGCCACACATCCCTGACTCCCACATCACTGAGTGCCCCCCAAAATGGCCAGATTTACTTTTAAGGGGTTAATCCAACCAAAACCAGTGTTTTAATAAACACTGTTTTTAGATGGAGTAACCCTTGCTGGCGTGCCTCCCCAGCAATTAAAATAAAGAAATAAAAAGCAAATTTAATTACACACTTCCACTGATTTTTCTTAGGACATCACAAGCAGCATCCCCCACATGTACAACCTTACTTTGGAGTCTACTTGTGGGGTTGCGTGTGTGGGGATGTTGCTAGTGATGTTGTGTTCCTGTATGTCAAAGTGTTGTTAGGATTAATCCTTTCTCTTGTTTTACCTATTGTACAGCGCTGCAGAATATGTTGGCGCTATATAAGTGATTGTAAAAGTTGTGTGTGTGGAGGCTGTGTGCAGTATTGCAATGGTGGGTATGCTGTTTGTGATGTGTATGTGAAGGGAGGCTGCATGTAATTTTGTATGTGTGGGGATGCTGCTTGTGGTGTGTCAATACAGTGAGGCTCCTTGTGGGTTTTTGCGTGTGTGAATGGGGCTATTTGCAGTGCATTATGTGAGTGGAGAGGGCTGGCTGTGTTGCAGTGTCTGTGGAATAGAATCTGTAGTAGGCATCTGGTGGTTACTGCGGCTATAGTGTGTGCGTGTTTGGGTAATAGAGGCTCTACTGTGTATAAGTTGGATAGTGGCTGTAGTGTGTGTAGGGGGATAAATGCTGAAATAGGTGAAGGGAGGCACGGGGGCTGTGGTGGGTGCGGGGAGGCACGGGGACTGAAGTGGGGGTGGGGCTGGACAGATTATGAGGTGGGACATAGAGGTTGTGGTGGGCGCAGGAGGGGACATAGGGGCTGTGATGGGTACTGAAAGTGATAGGGGCTATGGTAGTTGGAGGTGGCATAAGGGATGTGGTGGGAGCATAGGGGCTTGGGTGGAAACATGGATAGGTAGGTCCTGGGGTGAGTGTTGGGAGGAATGGTGGCTGAGGTGAGTGCAGAGGGGCTGAGGTGGGTGCAGGAGCAGCTGTGGTGGATGCAGACAGGGCTGAGGTGGGTGCAGGGGGAGCTGTGGTGGGTGGAGGGGGGCTGAGGTTGGTGCAGGGAGACAGGCAGCTAAGGTGGGTAAAGGGAGAGCTGAGGTGGGTGCAGGGGGAGATGTGGTGTGTGCAGAAGGAGCTGTGGTGCGTGCGGGTAGACAAGGGGCTGTTGTGGGCACAGGATGGGACATAGAGGCTGTAGTGGGCACATGGAGGGAGATAGTGGCTGTGGTGGGTACTGGAAGGCATAGGAGTTATGATAGGTGGAGGTAGCATAGGGGCTGTGGTTGGTGCATAGGGAATTAGGTGGGTACAGGGATAGGTAGATCCTGGGGTGAGTGTAAGGAGGAATGGTGGCTGAGGTAGGTGAAGGGGGAGCTGTGGTTAGTACAGTGGGGCTGAGGTGGGTGCAGGTGGAGCTGTGGTTAGTACAGGGGGACTGAGGTGGATACAGGGAGACAGGGGGCTGAGGTTGGTGCAAGGGGAGACGTGGTGTGTGGAGGAGGAGCTTAGGTGGGTACAGGGGGTTAAGGTGGGTATTGGGGGCTGCGGTGGGTACAGGGGGGCTGAGGTGGGAGCAGAGGTGGAAACAGGGGGCTGAGCTGGGGGCTGAGGTGGGTAAAGGGGGTTGAGGTGAGTACTGAGGGGCCGAGGTGGGAGCAGAGATGGGTACTGGGGGCTAAGGTGGGTACTGGGGGATGATGTGGGCTCTGAGGTGGGTACTGGAGGCTGAGGTGGGTACTGGAGGCTGAGGTGGGCACTGAGGTGAGTGTGGGCACTGGGTGGTACTGGAGGCTGAGGTGGGTA